TGTTTTTGATTCAATTCCAATCCCAAAAACCTTCTTAAAGGAAATACACCATCCAGTGATAAAAGTTTTATGGACTAGCTAATTGTCATATTCTTCTTTTAAATACAATTAATTTTAATATTTAATACTTCAAACAAGTTTGATATTTCATTTCGATATATGACAGTCAGTATTATCCTTTTCTGAGATTTGGTACATAACCATAATTTTGAAATTTGTTTTGTTTAAAGGTTAACCTCAATGTAAACTCCGTTAAAAAATTTAGATAATTTTTATTTCTAATAATTATTTAAATAGTTACAACTAGTTGTAAAATTGTTACAACTGTCGCCCAACCTGTAAGGTTTGTTGATAAATTTTGTTAATATTATTTGTAATAACTGTTGATGTGAAGTAATAATAAATATGTAATGTTTCTCTCTAAGCCAGGAGTTGTACAATTATTTCCTTTAAAAATATTTATACACTTTAATATTTTTTATAAAAGAAAAGCCTTTCTTTCTAACCAGCAAGAGGATTCTTTTAAACGGCGTCCATTTCAAATAGTGTAGGAACCTTCTTGTATGTGTGTTGCCCAGAAAATCTCTGTAAGTATTTTTTTGATTTCTTTCTTTGTAGTTATCACTTCCACTCTCTGCCTTATTCACTTACCTACGACCCAGCTCTCCAACCAAAACAAGCGTGGCCGTTCGCAAACGTTTCGGTTTGTTTGCTTATCCTATCTCCAGCACAGTAACTGCTCACTCCCCACTTTCGACCCCCTATAAGTGATATGCAATGTGGTAGGGAAGTTAAATCGTTACATATCAGTCAAATTTTTGCTTATTTACTAATAGTTGTTGTAACTTTACAAATATTATATGTAGTTAGAGAATATAACGAATTCATAATATTCTATATGATTCGAATGATTATTTGCAGGAAACATGTTCAGAATTGGCAATTAGAACTGGTGATCAAGCAGTATTACTATCAACTACGCCTGGAAGTCCAAATATTAGGCATAAGGTCTTTGGAACCAAAAGTCTAGAAGACGTAATTAAGAATGTGATAAGTAGTGGTATCATACAGGACGAACTGAAGACTGCTGTTTTAACAGAACCGTCAACTATTCAAGAAGATCAAACTACGCCTGGAAGTCCAAATATTAGGTATAAGGTCATTGGGACCAAACATCTAAAAGGCGTAGTTAAGAATGTGATAAATAGTGGTATCATACAGGGCGAACTGAAGACTGCTGTTTTAAGAGAAGCCTCATCTATTCAAGAAGATCCTGCACAACAGGTAATGTATATTTCGTTAATAATTGAGCATATCATATAAATTTTCAGGTCTTACAAAATGTCACAAACCAAAAACATTTTACTATCAAATAAAAATAGCTGTATTCACAGTTAAAAAATGGTTCTTCGATCAAAGGACCGTGACTAGTAATTTGTTCGATATCTCAAGCTATCTGGTTTCAGCCCTGTGTCTAATACTCTGGTGTGCTCTTTGTCGTCATTCAACAGTTCGCTGTGGCCATCGGTTGTGCCAACTTGTTCAACAACAGTTTAAACTGGACGTGTAAAATATGGTATTCGAACAGGTAGATCAAAAACTGTTATAAATTACAATAAAATTTTAGATTCAATGCAGGGTTTTATTGATACATCATCACCAAAAATTGCAAAAATACATGATGTAGGTCATTCTTAAGTCTTGCGTGTATTACATAAGAATTTATTTTAAATCCTACAAAATGCAGTTGTTGCAAGAATTAAATGAAGATGACTACGACCGTAATACCCCAGGAAAATAAGCTTTTTTTCGTGACACTCGTCCAGCCGGGCAACCGATAGTTGTTTTGAGTAGTATGGACCTCTATAACAAGAAACTATATGTTTCCTGCAGTCGATTTTTTCGACTTAATTATTAACAAATTAAGGTCACAAACGGTAAATTTTCGGTTTTTTCGTCTATCAGCAAAAAGTAAAGCGTTTGAAACAAAATTAAGAAGAGAAGAAACTTATAAGTCATATAAAAACCTTAAATAGCGTTTCTAAACGTTCTTATCCTTATTTGTTGTTTAGAAAGTTGCAAAATAAGTCAAAAATGTCGGTTTTATATAAATGTTATTAAACTTTTTTTAAAATAAACTTATAACCTTTATATTACACACAATGTTGGGTCTTGTGGTGCTTAAAATCAGACCAAATTTCAAGTCGATCGATCATCGGGTTTAAAAGTTATTTTTTTTTATCCCAAATTAAATTTTTTTGCAACAATATAAGTCAGAAAATTAAATAGGTATATTAAATATTATTTAAAAAATAATTTTAAATATTGCAAAATAATTTTTCAAAAAATAATTTGGCAAAAACATGTCAATTTTTGGCTTATAATCAATTAGAATAACTTTTTAACCATTGACTGCAAAAAACTGATTTTTCATATTTTGATAGCCTGAATTTTTTACAAATTAAAGAAAAAAAAAGTTGACCTGGGACGCTTTGAAACGAAGTTGGTGAGTTTTTTTTATAAATTGATAGCCCATTCACGAATGTTTTTTAACCAAGGAACTTATTTTCTTGCTACACCTCTACGGCCTTCTATTTTGCCTTTAAGGATCAGTTGTAAAATTTTATATCGACTTCCCCTTACTATATGTCCCAGATAAGACATTTTTCGATGTTTAACAGTCTTTAGCAGTTCTCTATCTTTGTTGACGCTCCTTAGTACTTCTTCATTAGTTTTTCTTGCTGTCCAAGGTATCTTCAGCATTCGTCTATGAACCCACATTTCCAATGATTCAATTTTGTTCATGATCGATACTTTTAGCGTCCACACTTCTGCACTATACGAAAGTACGGACCAAACATATCACTTAACCATTCTTTGCCTTAGTTCTAAATTGAGATGGTTATTGCAAAGAAATTGCTTCATTTTCATAAAAGTAGTTTTAGTCATTGCTATTCTACGTTTTGTTTCTATGTCTGGATCTAGTTGGTTCATTATCACAGTTCCCAAATATGTCATTTTGTGAACTTTCTCAAGTTGGACTCCGTTCAATTGAAGCTTTGCATCGGGATATGAGTCACGACTAAACACTAAAAATTTTGTTTTGTTTGAGTTTATTTTAATACCCATTTTCTCTCCTACCTCGTGAATACGATCAAGCAGAATTTGAAGACCTTCAATATTATCTGATAGAATTACTGTATCGTCTGCATATCTAATCACATTAAGTAGTTCCCCGTTGATTTTTATTCCATATGGTTGTCTCTCAAGTGACTTTTTAAATAACTGATCCAAGTAAAAATTGAACAATGTTGGCGACAAAATGCAACCTTCTCTGACTCCTCGTTGTATGGGGATTTCATCGGTGTAGTTATCTCCAATTTTTACGATAGCAGTTTGATTCCAGTACAAATTTTTAATGACACGAATATCCTTGTCATCTATTCCGATATTTTTCAGTATTTGCATTAATTTTACATGCTGTACTTTATCGAATGCCTTTTCGAAGTCCACGAAACATGCAAATACATCTTTTCTTTGGTCACGGCATTTTTTCAGTTTTTATTTTTTTTTAGGAATTTTTGAGGTAATTTTTATTGTAAAAAATGAAGAATATTTGTATATTATATATATATATATATATATATATATATATATATATATATATATATATATATTACTATAATAAACTTCGTAAATATTTTATTTATAAAAGATTTTATGAAAAAAAAAATCAAATTATGTTTTATGTAATGCTTGGAAAATAAATAATCACAGATAAACTAGTTTTTATTCTTGCTAAGCATGCTAAGCGTGTGTCTTTTGTCGAAAAAGTTCGATTTCATATCCACATGCTGAAACTTGTTTTATTCGATATTATGATGCCAATATGCTATGCTTTAAAGTTTTCAAGACAAAAATGATTAATATGATATTTATGTAAAACGCATACTTTAAATGTAAAGGGCAAATAAACTACTAAAATTGCTGAAAAAAACAATTTTGCATTTTTCGAGGCCATTTTTTAATAGGTTGAACATCAGATGTAAAAAAATACAAGATGAAAGCTTAAGTCTATTCGTTTAAAAATGCTCAATTTCACATTAATGTTATATTGCAAGTGAGTTTAAAATATACATAAACAAATTGATATACCGTTGCGTTTTTGGAATATGTACATAGACTTAATGAATGTCCAAACTTAAACGTTTGAAACACATTGTTTATTTTTTACTACAATTTTAATCTTATTTTAATCGGAAGAATATGATGATGCAATATTACAGTAAAAAGTTTACTCAAAGTATACCACGGGTACTTGCTTAATATATATATATATATATATATATATATATATATATATATATATATATATATATATATATATATATATATATATATATATAAAAGATTAAATAAATAAAAGAAAAAGAATAAATTTAGATGTTTGTCAAGTCTATACATCCCGAAACGCAACGGTATATTACTTTGTTCACGAATATTTTAAACTGACTTATGCTATATCAAATCAAAATGGACTTGCGCATTTTGAACTTATTTTGTAAACTTTCACCTCATATTTTTTGAGTATAAAAATTCGATGTATAACCTATTGAAAAATGGTCTCGAAAGATGTTAAAATCGACATTTTTCGGCATTTTTAATTGTTTATTTGTATTTTAAGTTTAAAATAAGTATTTACGAAAAAAAAAATAAATACAAAAATAACGTCTTAGAATAATTCGAATTATTAAAAGAAAGTAATTTTGAAGCAAAAATATATTTTTTATATGTAATTTGTTTAAAAAGTGATAAATAAATAATAATAAATGAATAAATAGGTTCCAATGAAATTTTTTTTATTTAGATGATATTTCCATTGAGGAAAATCTTTTTTTCTTTGAGATTTTTTATTTTTAAAGAAATATTAGTAAGTACTTTAAAGTAGAAAGAATTGAATATGATAATTTGTTTTTTTTTCATAAAATCTATTATAAATTAAATAATTACGAAGTTTATGGAAGAAGTACATATATATTAATCATAAATATTTATTTTTTACAATAAAAATTACCTTCAATATTCCTAAAAAAATAAAAACTGAAAAAAAAATGTTAAACAAATTAGATGGTTTATTTAAGAGCCTAATTATTTAAATAATACATATTCGTAATGTACGCAAAAGTACATACAAATTAAAAAAAGAAACGTGGAAATCTCCAAACAAGAAACAGAGATACATTCCTTACAGCTCCTTCCCTCTCCTGCGCTCTCTCACTAGTTTCAAAGCCGACCAATTTTGAGGACCACAATTTTGAAGCTTTGTGAACGATTCCATTAAAATGCAATTTTTTTCCAATTTTCTTCCAATTGTTATAAACAAATCTGTAAAATTTATAAAAAAAGGCACAACTTCGTTCCAAAGTGTCCCAGGTAACCTTTTTTTTCTTTTAAATTTGTAAAAAATTCAGGTAGTTATTCTAATTGTTTATAAGCAAAAAATTGACATGTTTTGCCAAATTATTTTGCAATATTTAAAAATATTTTTTCTCATTATTTTGAAATATTATTAATACAATAAATCTTCTTCTCTTTGAATCTATCCATATATTTAATATAACTATTTAATTTTCTGACTTGTATTGTTGCAAAAAAATTTAATTTGGGATAAACAAATTAAATATATTTTAAACTATTTGCAATTTTGATCTTATTTTATGCACTATAATAGAATAGGAACGTTTAGAAAACGCCATTTTGAAGTTTTTATATGACTTACAAATTTCTTCTCTTCTCAAATTTGTTTTAAAAGCTTTACTTTTTGCTGATAGACGAAAAAAAGCAAAAATTTACCGTTTTTTGACCTTAATTTGCTAATAATTAATTAAGTCCAAAAAATCGACTGGAGAAACATATAGCTTCGTGTTATAGAGGTCCATACTACTCAAAACAACTGTCGGTTGCTTGGACGGACGAGTGTCACGAAAAAAAAAAGCTTATTTCCCTGGACAGACAACATGTCCAGAACAGCCCGATCTCTGTTTAGGAAGATGTTTCCGCAAATATGAAAAATAATAAGTTTTTTAATTCACGGTATTATTGGTATATTTTTGTCAAAGAATTTCTGCTAATTTTAATTAATATTGTTAATTTTTTTTCTAAAATTTGTATTTTGTATGCCAAATTATTATGCAATATTTAAAATTATTTTTCCTCATTTTTTTTAAATAATATTATTTTTCAATAAATTATTTTTTAAATATTATTAACACAAATAAAAAATAAAAATAAATTTTATCTTATTTGAACTTGGAATAATCCCTTTAATCTGTGTAACTTTTAAAGAACTTTTATATAGTTGTTGTTCTTTTCTTTAAAAGAAGATTATTGTATATAGCACTAAGATTTTCAATATCTTCTCTTTTGTTTAAGGTGTTTTGTGTAGTTTTGATTAAGCACATTTCTAGAAACAGTCTTTTGTTGTAATTTACTTTCCCTTCTCAATATTTCTGCTTGATCATAGTTAGGCGTGTGGCCCATCCTAATAGAATGTTCACTTAATGCACAGGCTTGTACTTTATTCAGATTAATGTCACTCTTGTGCTATTTTAATCTTCCGGACAAATTTCTGGACGTTTCTCGATTATATATTTTATTGCAATTATTATAGGGTAGAGAGTACACTACATTGGAGCTTTCTTTAATATTTAAGGGTGTTTTTAGTTTGGTGTGTAATTTCGATATGGTTTTTATATTTCTGGTTCCGATTATGATATTAGGTACTTCTCTAAATGTATTTAATAGTCTATTTGTTAAACCTGGAATATATGGTAAAGAATGGTACAATGTATTTTGGTTGTTCATTGAAACTTCTGTTTGATCTGTCGTTATGACTTATGAGACACCAAAAATAAGTCTATTCAGAAGGTTCGCTGTGAATGAATTCTCTAACATGATCGTTTGTAGTTTTTTAAGACCGGCTGTTCTATATTCAGGATGCGAAAAAGTTATCACCCTACTTTTCATATTTAATACTAGTTTGATCTTCATTGTAGATGGATGTGCGCAAAAGTAATTAATAAACCTGTTGCTACATATTGGTTTTCTATACCATTCTGTTTTTAGAACGTTGTTTGAATCACGGTATAACATCATATCTAAAAATGGTATGCAGTTGTTGTTTTCTAATTCTACTGTAAATTGCAAGTCTGGGCAGTGACTGTTAAATATGTGTAGTGTGTCCATTATTTTGTCTTTTGGGAGTGCAAGAATTAAATCGTCCAGGTATTTCTTTAAAAATGGGACATTAAATGGTAACTTGCTAATACAGCTTTCAATTAAGTCATCCAGTACAAAGTGGCATAGGATTGGTGATATTCGTTTCCCATGTACCATATATTTGTTTGTAATACACCTCATTGAAGATCAATATGTTTGAGTCAAATATGAAGGATAGTATTGTTACAAATGAATTAAAATCTATTGAGCTGTGTTGTGAGATGTTTGTCCATTGTTTTTTTTTATAGTATTCATGATTTGCTGAAACGACAAGTTGGTGAACAATGATACTACATCAAAACTTACCAACACATTATTTGGAGAAAGTTTGAAATTGTTGATAAAGGAGGTGAAACTAAATGAATCTTTTATATAGTAATCATTCTTTTTGTTGTATGCATTTGTTAATATTTCTGTTAAGAACTTGGATAATTTACTGTTTGGAGAATCAATGGATGAAACAATTGGTCTCATTGCCAGGCTTGGTTTATGTTGGGTGATTTATGTTTATATGCTAGCATAAACTATAGCTATATAAAAGTTCTTTAGAAGTTACATAGCTTAAAGGGATTATTCCAAGTTCAAATAAGATTTGTAAAGAGTTACTATTTCTACTATATATACAACTATGAGACTAGTACCTGTTTGTATCATAAATCCTTTAATAACTCTATGAAAAATATGTCCATTGTAATATCCATTTTTACTGTGGACACAGAAGTTTTCTACTGTCTTTGGCGTATCTTTTATAAATAGTTTTATATGAATATCTCCAAAAACGGTATGAAGAATAGCATTTTCGTATAGCCGTTGGACTGCGGGATTTTCGGCAGCCGCTAGAGAATCCTCTTTGGAAGGTTTTTCATTAAAAACGTCTCTATCTTGATCACTCTGTAAATCGTCAGGTTCTCTACGGCTAAAGAGGTAGAATCTAGATTTTTTGTATGCGGTACAAATAAGAGTTGGATCTGGAAGTATGGCATCTAAAGTTGGGTTGTTTGAAGCTTCAATTTCTAATGTAACGGCTGCTTTTGACTTTTTGGCTGAACCTGCAATATTGATAATGTATTAGCAGGGGTGAGCAAACATTTTAATCAGCGGGCCAATTAAAATTTTTAAATTTTTTGGCGGGCCGCACATAAAGTAACACCTAATTAATAATTTACAAAACTTTATTATAATAAACAGAAAAAAATTATAAAATTTAAACAAAAGAAGAGCAACAAGAAAAAACAGAAAAACGAATTTACTTGAAATGTTTATTGAGAAATTTGGCATTTTTCTTTTGATACAAGCTTAATGCATTGAATTTTATGATACTGTAGCGAGATTAAATAAAACGAGGTTCGAATTTATATAACTATATTTATTTATAAGTTTACAGTTCGGTACTCTCTTATCAACTAAACTCATTCCTAACATCGTTATATATATATATATATATATATATATATATATATATATATATATATATATATATATACATATACCAAAGTTACTATGTTCTATAACATTCCCACCTCTAATTCTAATTCAGTCAAATACGTGACGGATTGTTCTTTTGCTGTCGAGAGATCTATGGATGGTTCTCGATGCCTGAGATGCTTCGAGATGCAACCGTTAGGCGGGCCACGCTGAATGCATGTTCGTAACACTGCTCCTCTCTTAGATCTGAGCGTCCCGATCGGCAACTCTATATGTAGGCACAGGATGGCGGAATCTACAGGACTCTCCAGGTCTGCATGAACTCCTCAGAAAGAAATAACAGTCTACTGTTTTTGAAGGATACGATCTCTTCGGATTAGTGCAACACACAGTAATTCTTACACCGGTTTCTCGGAAGATCACTTCAAGCATGCTTCTGACAATCTTCCAATCCAGATTATCTAGTTCATGGCCTATCTTGGGTAAGGCCAAATTCTTAATGTCGTAATTGCAGACGATTTTCTTTAAATTAGTTAGAGCACGCCATATATCCTCGTAGGTTGCCCTGTCTGTATACGACTTCCTGGTCACCATATACAGCAAAGATCGAGAACCATCTTCTAATCTCAGTACTCTTCCAACTTTAGGCTGCTGGTTTTTTAACTCGTCCAAACGACCGAATTTCTTATAAAATACAGATGAGATTCCTTTAGTCATCTCAAGATCTTGGGCAACACAGTGGGCTAGAGAGACGTTATGCGGAACACTAAAAATATCCTGCTGAACTTCTGTCGTCACGCCGAATCCAGCACTCTTTCTTTCTGCGTAAATTGACATAAACTCCTTAAAGCTTGGTCGCCGATCATCTTTGATCTCATGTTGAAGGGTTCGGACTTCTTCGGTTTCATTTGAGCCAGCATAAGGTGCAAGACGATTTATGTGAACTACTTTTGGTTTACCTTTCGGCAACTTCTTAATTCGGTATATTACGTCATTTATTCTCTTTTTAATTTCATACGGACCCTCCCATTGTCTTTGTAGTTTAGGAGACAAGCCACGACGACGTTGTGAATTTATAAAGCCAAACAAGATCACCTACTTCATAGCTTTCATTCTTGCATCGAGAATCGTATTGATCTTTCATTCTGTCACTGGCTAACTGGATGTGTTGTCGGGCAAGTTCATGAATGTTGTTGATTCTTAACTTTAGGACGGTCGACATAATCTTCGCTTGCAACATGTTCTTCGAAGGTCTGCAGCCAAACTCTAGGTCGCAGGGCAAACGAACTTCACGACCTAACATCAGGCAGGTTGGAGTCTGGCCTGTAGTTTCATTCAAGGCCGAGCGGTATGCCATTAAGAATAAATGAATGTGCTGATCCCAATCTCTTTGATGTTTTGACACAACTTTGGACAGGTGTTTACCCATCGTTCGGTTCATCCTCTCGACCATTCCATCTGATTGAGGATGCAGGGGTGTCGTTCTGATTGACACCAATCAATTTACAAACGTTTTGGAAAAAGTTTGACTCGAAGTTTCACCCTTGGTCGGAGTGGATCTCCAAGGGAACACCAAATCGGCTAAAGAATTATTTAACCAGTACCTTTGCAACGGTAGCAGCTTCTTGATTTGGTATCGCATAGGCCTCAGTCCATTTCGTAAAATAATCCATAGCTACCAGGATATATTTATTTCCATCATTCGTCTCTGGAAGTGGACCTGCAATGTCGATTGCTACTCTTTCCATAGGACTACCAACATTGTACTGTTTCATGGGTGCCCTCTTTTTACCAATTGGACCATTACTGGTTGACACAGTTCACATTTCCGTCACCATCTTCTTACATCATCTTTACAGTTCACCCAATAGAACCGTTCTCGAACCGTTCTGCAGAGTCTTCGTAATACCAAATTGTCCACCCGATGCACCGTCATGTAACTGACGCAATACTTCTGACACTTTACTTTTAGGTACAATCAACTGAAGCTTAGATTCTGTACCATCATCGTTCTCAAAGGTTCTATACAGAAGATCATCTTTCAGCACTAGGCAATTTCATTGGCTCCAGTAACACTTGACTTCGGGACTACATGCACTAATGTCTTGCCAAGAAGGTCTTTCACTTCGACGCACCCAATCCAATACTCTTTTTATACATGGATCATCTGCTTGAGCGTCTTGTAGCTGTTGAGGCTGCCATTGATCATTAATAACGGTGGTTCGCCTCACGGGGCAAAGTCGTTCTTCTAATTCAAGACAATGATTACGATTTGCACTGTATGGCCGTCTTGATTGAACATCAGAATTTGAATGACTTTTCCAGCCCAGTGCTCGATCTGTTCTAGCTTTCTGACTGTTGTATTATTTTCTTGCACTTTGGGGCGAATGTGACCTTCGTTGTTACCATTCCAACATCTGGGTTCACATCTCTTCGGCATCATGTTACGAACTATTTTCCGTACGATTTTCTCCAGACGTTTATCGTTTCGTTCGTCACTCTCTTCAGAGGTTCGTACTTGATAGCTCCGTGAAACTCGACTAGCTATCTCGTGTTCCAAGGCAATGGAGAGCGTTTCATCTAAAACTTTCGGTCTTGCTAGTCGTAAAGCTTTCTGTAGTTCACTCTCTCAACCCATTGACGAAGGCATCTACAGCAATTTCTTCCAAAATGTTGTCTGGTGCCTCTGGATAGGCCAACCGCACTATACGAGCAACATCTGCTTCAAACTCTTGCAAATTTTCACTTGCTCGTTGAACTCTACTTCTTAGTTGCACCTTGTAGACTTGTTGTAGATGGGCATCTCCGTAACGTTTGTCTAGTCGAGTGAACAAGGTCTGGTAACATTTTTCTTGACCCTTAGGAATCGATCTTAGGATATCCGCAGCATCACCTCGTAAAGCAGCAGTTAAGGAAACAGCTTTTTCTTGTTCTGTCCAATGATTGGCTGTCGCAATAGCTTCAAATTGTCTAATGTATATGGACCAAGAGGACTTTCCATCAAATGGTGGCAATTTGAATCTCATATGATGTGTCGTTTCGTCTCTCGGTGATTCTTCTTTTACTACCGGATCTAAGGCTACCGTATTAACGAGTGGTAGCACTTTCGTATTAGTTATCATGGTCTCTAATTGTTTGATCTTCTCTTCTACGTTGTTTACATTTGTCTGTATCTGATCGAATGTTTTAGAGACTTCTTCAAATTTCTCATCGTTCTGAGTACATACTTCGTCGAAGTTCTTGAAACCTTTTCGAGTTTCTCGTCGTTTTGTCTAGCTACTTCTTTAATAATTTGAGACGTTTCATCGAATCTTTTGAAACGTTCTCGAATTTATCATTATTTTTTTTTTAGAAGATGCTTCAATTTCTTTAGAAGTTTCTTCAATAATCATTTGAGACGTTTCATCGAATCTTTTGAAACGTTCTCGAATTTATCATTATTTTTTGTTAGAATATGCTTCAATTTCTTTAGAAGTTTCTTCAATAATCATTTGAGGACGTTTCATCGAATCTTTTTCATTTTGTGAAAAGTTTTCGTCGTTCTTGGAGTTCTTTCTTGGACCGCCTGCAGTCTTCATCGCGTTCTTCTAGTTGCTCACGCAACTGTTTTACTGAAAGTTCTACTAGCAGCATCTTTGGTCAGCACACACGTACTTTTTTTTTAATGTTCTTTAGTACAAAGTTCACTATCGAACTACGCGAATGTTCCCGATGAACAATACTTTTCTAAAGTTCAAAAGTCTTTTCAAAAGTCACTGCTGGATTTATGTTGAAATCTCACACCGGACACCAACTGTAGCGAGATTAAATAAAACGAGCGGTTCGAATTTATATAACTATATTTATTTATAAGTTTACAGTTCGGTACTCTCTTATCAACTAAACTCATTCCTAACATCGTAACATATATATACCAAAGTTACTATGTTCTAGAACATTCCCACCTCTAATTCTAATTCGGTCAAATACGTGATGGATTGTTCTTTTGCGGTCGAGAGATCTATGGATGGTTCTCGATGCCTGAGATGCTTCGAGATGCAACCGTTAGGCGGGCCACGCTGAATGCATGTTCGTAACAATACAAATTGTGAATAAAGAAGATCCGCATTAAGATTTTTTGCCTTTATTGCCAAAATCTGGGAATAATCCCTTCATATTAAAGAACAATTTTATTTCGCTTTTTATGTTATATACCCTTTTTACTTCGGTATTAAAAACCACGTCGCCATATTTAGTTTTTAATTCTTTCAGATATTCTTTAAATTCACGGTGTTGTGAAAAGTATGACCAATGACAACATCAATACGAAATAAAATAAAAACAGTTGAACTGGACCTTATAAGAAGTTGTCTACAAATTACCAGAGACGGATAGAATAAGAACAGAGGAAATATGGAACAGAATGTAGGTAGAATGCTCAATTACAAAAAAGTTGGAAAACAGAGGACTCTAGTGGTACGGACATGTACAAAGAATGCATGAGCACATGTGGCCAAGAAGAATATTGGATTGGGACGGAGAGAAAGACCTGCTACAAGATGGAAAACATACATAAGAAATGCTATGATAGATAGAAACCTTAGAGAAGATTTCTTACCTTAGAAGACCTTAGAAAGAATTCTTTCAGATATTCTTTAAATTCACGGTGTTGTGAAAAGTATGACCAATGACAACATCAATACGAAATAAAATACAAACAGTTGAACTGGACCTTATAAGAAGTTGTCTACAAATTACCAGAGGCGGATAGAATAAGAACGGAGGAAATATGGAACAGAATGTAGGTAGAATGCTCAATTACAAAAAAGTTGGAAAACAGAGAACTCTAATTACTATTAAACTGGGAATAAGCCACAATTAAAGATAAAATTCGTTTATTGACGTTTCAATTTCCACTTCGGAAACCGTTCTCAAAATACAAACAGTAAATTAAACAAATTTTGTTTTTTGTTACATAGTAAAAAATTCTTCTAATAATTTAATTTTATCTGACTCATTTATATTGACAATTCAGACATACATTATGCATTTTAAAGTAGACGACTTTAAAATGATATTGCCAATATTGTTAAGTTGCGCTCCTGGGACGACTTTACTTATAAGATAGTTTATTCGATTACATGAAATCAACTTTAACTTGAGAATATCCGTGGTAGCTTCAGAACAATATTAAGAGGACTCTAGTGGTACGGACATGTACAAAGAATGCATGAGCACATGTGGCCAAGAAGAATATTGGATTGGGACGGAGAGAAAGACCTGCTACAAGATGGAAAACATACATAAGAAATGCTATGATAGATAGAGAACTTAGAGAAGACTGGGAAAATAGCCAAAGAAGAATAAGACATCCTATATGTTCCTAGCATGCGAAGTATATCCCAAAAGTATTCGAGATTCGTTCAGAACTTCAAGGTACCTCCAAGAACCTTCAACGTAAATCCGATTCGAATTAAAAACACATTCCTATCGATGTTTTAAGTCACCGAAGTAGTTCTAAGCGCGTAAAATCAGACATAACATCTTTATAATCGAAAAAAAAAAACAACGATTAACATCAATAACAACGAATAAGACTTGATTTTGCTCTGATTTTAAGCACACCTACGACGTAATCCGTAATGATCTTTTTAAAGATATTTAGCAACCATTTCCAAATTGTCCAAAACGAGTTCTGTACTCCGTCATGAGCAATTTTGGAATGAATTCGGCACAGACTCGAATCATTCCCAAAGTCTTTCCAAATTATTAAAACACGTTTTCGGAACTCCAAGACTGGTGTTCATTCCGCACGCAGTCAAACGACGATTTTCTTCAATCGCAGTCTCACACATTGGATATTTTCCGGTGTTGTTCTGAAAGGTCGAACACAACGTGCGAATCATTTTATTTTGTGTATTTTGCTTATATACTCATCTCCATTACTGTCTAGTTTACGCTCATTTTTTTTTTCGAATCTAAAGCAAAATTTCTTATTTCTACTCATTACGAATTTCGACCGCCATCGTTCTCTGTCCTACCATTCGTCTTCTTTGATGGCTCTATCTCTCATTAGGTGTCGTCCATTTTCTTCCCAGGCAACTGCAGGCCTCTCCCTTCTTCTTCTTTGTTGTGGTATGTAATTTAAAGCTTTCTTTGGCCATCTATCTTCATTCCTTCGCTTCACGTGACCATACCACACTAATGGTTTCGTTTCAATTCTGTCTACACTGGAATATACAGTATTTGTCCTCCTTCTAATATCTTCATTCCTGATATGATCTTTTTTGGATACACCACACGCTCTCCTTAGAAAATCCATTTCTACTACTGTTAGTGCCAAACCGGACCTGTTCCGAATTCCAAACACTAGGACGAGGGGTGCGGGTTGCTCCCCCACTCACCGAGAAAATACACAGTCCACTACAAGCTTTCGAAGAGCAAAGACAATTTAAAAATATATTTTTGTATCGCTATTGTTTTAAACTTTATAATAAAAACGTGAAATTCTCAAAACTTTTCTATCTTTTTTCGTGATCTGCCAAACTTCTGCCTCATAAGTCATAAGGGTTCGGCTCTACCAAGGTTCGATAGATTGTCAATTTTGTTTCTTGTCTAATATCTTTAGACCATAGTTCGATGTCTCTTTTGGTAGTGCCTTCTTTAGATATATTCATTGCATGTTTTTGTGTTTCTAATTTCTAACTCTGGATCTTCCTCGTCATCTCCTATTTTAAGATATGATACAAAAGAATTTTTTTTTGATACAAAAGATAGTTCTCAAATATCATTGGAGATTGACATTTTGGAGGTTTTATATCTTCTTCTTCTTTTTATGTAGACATAACTTTGTCTGCTTTTCAATGTGCATCAAGTACGTTGTTCCATCGTTTTCTTGGTCTTTCTGATGATCGCCTTCCTATTAAGAAACCCTCTCTCGCCGTCTTTACTACTATTTGTCACTTTGCTTATATTTGTGATCGTTTGATTATACTTATCTATCTCTTACCCAGTCCTTGATGTTCTCCAATTTGCATCTAAGTATATCTGTGGTTCTAGCTCTGTCCCATAGTATCTTACCATCAATTTTTCTAAGAGCTTTCATATTTGCCATATCTAACATTTTCTTTATGTCTTCTCTGTCTCAGATCGTGTTTCTTCCGCGTATGTCATTATTGGTCTGATGACCGTTATGTAAATTCTGCCTCTCATTTCTTTTCCGATATTTTTATTTCTACATATTGTTTCACTCGGGCAACCTGCGGCTCTGTTTGCTCTATTTACTTGATCTTCCACTTCGGTTTCGAGCTATCCGTAGCTAGATTGTGTGATGCCACGATATTTAAAGTCCATCACTTGTTCTATTATCTGAACTTCCAGCTCAAATTCACATCTTAGTAAATTTCCTGTATAACCGTGCATTTCGTTTTTTTATTAATGTTAAATTTTCTGGCGGTTATATTAAATTGGTGCAGGATACGTTGTAAATCATCTTCACTTTAAGAGAGTAGTATTGCGTCGTCTTCATAACAGATTATTTTAAGTTGTTTTTCTCTCATTTGGTATCCTTTTTTAGTTCTTACTTTTTTATTATTTTATCTATGATCATATTGAACAATAGAGAACAATAGAAGTTTCACCCTGTCAGGCGCTTTAAGATCCACGAATCATTCGATATGCCAATTTGTTGTATTCTATTTGTTAGTCTACTCCATTTGGTAATTTGGATATTTATATAAAGGAGATATTTTTGAATTAAATACTCGGTGACAGAACAAAAACTAGTTCATATTTTTAATAATATACAGGGTGAGGTATTAGTGTGAGGAAGTCAATAACTCATTTGTCATAAAACATACGAACATTCAAAGTTGAAGCATAGATAGGATCATACTTTAAAAATGTTTTCAAATACACAGTGCCACCTACATTGACAGGGTGAAACAAACTTATCTTTTTTAATGGTACACCCTGTATAATTGTACGTTTTTGGACACTTCCCGATGTTCTCTTTGTTTTGCAATACAAGGTTTTGTAGCGTTGGTTCCATTCTTGTGTCCATGAAAAGATCTTCAATATAGTTAGTCCATACTTGTTTTATTTCAATTGGGTTATTAATAGGTTTATTGTTTTTGTCAATTAATCGTTTTTTTTTTTAATATTGTTATTAAATTTGTTCGTGATTTTCCAGATAATTATTTCACTTTTTTATGTAAATTCTGAACTCAAACTAAAAACATCAATTTTCATTGATTAGAACCAGAGATGTTACTACTTTTATTTTGAATTTATGAATTCAGTTTTTGAAATAGTAAAATCGAGAATAAAAAAAGGCTAGCTCGTGTTTTAAGCGTCGTAGAACATTGAATTTTGTTTTTAAATTCGTATAAAATGGTGAGATTTCGAATAAAAAAAATTTACTTTCTATACATTGATGGATGTTAGATATTTTTATTATATTATTAAAAATAAGTCTTCTGTTCCGATATCATATAAGATGATATATGCGCTAAGTATATAAAATAAGATAAAAATACTACATTCAATATTTTTAATACACTTACCTTGGTAAAGAGCAATATTTAACATCCGCAAATTTTCATTTTTTCCTATGATTTTAACACACCTATTAGTATGTATATTTACAAGTTTAATACCCAATAATGTGGCGTACATAATAAAATATCCACTTTCGTCGAATATTATATTGGCCAACTCAAAACTATCTGACTTTTCCAAATCCCTCTCTACAGCCATCCGTCTACCAAATTCCATGTTTGGCAGTTGTTGGGTTTTGTGCTGATGATCTGAAAACCTCGGCAACGATTCATCCAAAACTAAAATCTAAAAAAATGTATTAAAAATGTTCAGGGATACCTATATAATAAAATTTGCTAATCGTGGTTGACGAGGTAAAAAACAACCTTATTGCTATTGTTAGGAAGCTAATTTCTTATGGAATTTTAATATTATTTACTATCTTTAATGGAAATTAACCTTAATTTCAAGTGAAAATAAGCTTATTTTAATATTTTGATTTCTCCTTCGGAATCGTTCTCAAAATACAAATTATTTCCAAAAGTAGAAAGGTTTTCAGGAAGTAGAGATAGCCATAAACTCACTCAAAAATAGAAAAAGGAGCAGACGGAATAACCAACGAGCTTCTAAAACACGGAGGAGAAAGTATAACCCTAGAGATGACAAAATTTATACAAAGACTAATATCGCACTGCAAGATACCAGGTGCATGGAGAAACAGCATAATGATACCAATGTTCAAGCAAGGAGATAAAGAAGACCCCAACAATTATAGAGGTATAAATCTACTGAACACCGTACTTAAGCTTACCACAAAAGTAATAACCAACAAAATCAATAAACTAACAATTTTATCAGATGAACAACAAGGATTCATATCTATGTTTTATAGACCTGACAAAGGCTTTCGATCGCATCCAAGTCGAAGACGTCTTACACTTACTGTATAAAAGAAACAGACCAAACAAAATTATACAAACCATCGAAAATATCTACTCACATAATCGACTACAAGCAAAGATAAATGGAAAACTAACACAGTGTATACCAGTACAAGGCAGAGTCAGACAGGGTGACTCGTTAAGCCCACTTCTCTTTAATATAATAATGGATGAAATAATACAAGCAGTACGTAAAGGTCATGATTACAGAATGGGAACAAATAAATCCAAATATTATGTTATGCAGACGACGACGCCGCATTATTGCCGATACAGAAGACGAGCTTCAAAGATTAACACATATCTTCAATACAATAGCCAAGAAATACAGTATGATAATATCAGCAGAAAAAACCAAATGTACGACAACATCTAAATACCCACTACGATGTAAAATCGAAATTGATGGGAAAATAAAGCAGGAAGCAAGGTTTAGATATCTGGGAATAGATAATAAAACTAGTTACGGATGTATGTTGAAGAAGTATCGACGAAAAAGCTTAAAAGCAAGTAAAGCGGCGGGATCTCTTAATGACACACTCTGGAAGAACAAATACCTAAGACAAGGCACAAAGACAAGAATCTATAAAGTAGCAATTAGACCTATATTAACATACATTGCGGAGACAAGACCTGACACATCTAAAACGAGACGACTACTAGAAACAACAGACGAAAATACTCCGACGAATATCAGGGAAAAGTCTGTTGGATAGGGAGAGAAGCGAAAACATAAGAGCATGCAATATAGAAGTACATAAATGGATGGGTGACAAAACGGAAAATAGGAGTTGGAAAACGAACAGACAATTTATAGAATGGCAGTCGAGGAGGAATAGGAATAGTTACGGAATAGCACGAGATAAAAGTCACCTAAATGGGAATGGGAGAAGTAATTCTTTGGAGACAAGACCAAGAAAATATATGGCTGCCTGGTAATTTAAAGCAATTTAAGAGGCTAATATTGAAGAAAGAAAGACGCGCATTAAAGCCTCGCATACAAGAAGAAAGAAGAAAGAATGACAATTTCAACAGACAAATATTCAAACCTGTCATGAGTAATAGTGTTGGAGAAAGATCAAAATCTCACAATGTACACTTCATCTAAGTTTAATATAAACGAGTGCAACGTTGCATCGGTCGGTACATAGCCTGGTTGGAGACGGTTCACAATGATTACCAAACACTAATAGATAGTTAGGGTAGTGGTGTAGGTGTGTTCGTGCTTTTGACAATCACTTTACCGAGTGCACTGCCATGGCATTACAGAGCACTAGACATATTGTATTAATATGACGCGTAGTGAAAATAATATTTAAATAATGTTCTATTTAATGTTGAACTTAAAGGAGGTTTATACACAATGAAATTATGTGTTCATTATTAATTTGTATGTAAATGCATTATAAACGGGTTTTTATCAGAGAAACATTTTGGTTCGGTAACACACTGTAAACGTGTAACTCGACGCGAAGAGTTAAAATTTTCGGTCATATAAATTAGGTATAATCACAATTATTTGACAGTTGATTGGTGGTGGACTACTTTTGTACTTCATTAGAGTGTTTTGAAATATTTTTAAAGTGAATGTATCTGTCTTTGTTTTATATGTGTAACTATTTAATGTAGAAAATCTGTGTTCTTTTTGAGGGAACAAAATTAGTGATGTTATATTTCGAAAAATGTCACGTAAAAAGATTTAATATAAGTCATTGTTGAAATGTTTAAGTTAGTGGTAAAATTTTGCAATTAATTAGTGTAACTCGCTATTGAATGTCAATGAATGGAGAGGTCAGGATTTTTTATTTATACGTTTAGGCACACTATAGTCAAACTTCGATCTCACTGACGGAAATAATGGACGATAGTGGCCGTTATGCCATACAATTTAGATGAAGGATTTAGTTATTCTGCTCCGTCGTGCGTGACTGATTGCGAGAGACCTACCGCCTTCATGACAGAACAATGTGTTGAGAAAAGTCCCAATTCTGTCACGGTTAAATATATGAATCATATGTTTTTTGACATTGTTAAATACATGCGAAATTGACAATTATTAATTAAATTAGTTTTTTAACTATATTTTTTCAGTTTATGTACAAAATAAATGTAGTATTAAAAAACTGAGTTTCTCAAAATTCATCATAATATATCTTTTCAACTCCAAACGGAAAGAGAAAGCGAAAAATCTAGTACTGGCAAATCAAGTTTTTCACGCAAAAGAGCATAGTAATTAAAAACAATAATAGTTAAAAGTTATGATATAAATAGCTAAAAGTCATCTGCAGTTAGCTTGAAGCCTTATGAAATATCATTCAAGGTAAATTATTTTAATTGTTTCCATATTTCAATTGCATAAAAATGAAATTATGTGATATTTACTATTTCATATTAATAGCACGAATTCATCTTTTTCTTTTCTCTAATTTATATGTAATCTTTGGGAACCTATATAAAAACTACACTCACTGTTTTTGCTATTATTAGCCAGAATTAAATACGCACACATGTATTTGCACACATTTTTGATTAAAACTTATGCGTAAAAATATTTTGTCCAATATTCCAATTTTGTCATATTTCGCCGCTACGCACGCTGGCATCGTTTCAATGTACCCCTACCATGGTCACGCACGGAGCGAAGTAGACATTATAATTAAGAATGTCGTTCCAAGAGTTTATTTGCCGCCATTTGTTGGTCGCTTAACTTTGTGATCGCATCGCTTCTACGTCTATCTTTATTCTATTATTTTTATGGGTACTTTTATTACTGCAATTTTATCACCAAGAATATAATACAGAGGATAAGTAGGGTTATAAAAATAATATAATAATATGAACCCCAGTGATTTGCTGCAGCTACACCTTTCCGCAACCTTTCTTGCAGTGACAAAATATCATTTTTAAAAGTCCTTCAGGAGCAGGCGACTTTTTCATTTTTAATGGGATGCAACGATCCATCTTTTGAATACCACCCCCAGTCAGTTGGCTGAATATTGTAGTTTCAAGCAACTGCTGGACCTGAAGATAAGTTCTTTTTGAATGTTCATCTAAAGCATCTTCAGTAGGCACGATTGATGACAATTTGACGGCGTTATTTTTCGTAGTGGCTATGATGAATGACTCGAAGCGCATTCCCTCATGTAAAACTTTCAAGTCTTCACCTTTTTTTCAATTAACTGAACATTTTTTGAAAAACTTTTCAGTTTCAGCAGTGTTACTGTATATTACTTTTCATTCTTTCTATAAGATCAAAAAAAATTGTTTGCTTTTATTGTAAAATGCAATGTGGAAAAAACAGTGAATGCATGTGGAAAAGCTATTAATTTTGAACTATTTGGGTAATTTCCTTCAAAACTTTCAGTAGAATATATTACTTATGAAGCATTTTGTTTTCTTCCTGCATCGCTGTTTCAACTACTAGTTCATCAGCTTCACTTTCACCTTAACAGCGGCGGATAGACTGCTTGTCAAATTCTGCCATTAGTTGCTCGATTAATTTACTTTCATTTTTACAATTGTTACTTTTATAATTGGATAAAAATTTGTCTTGACTTATAGAAACCGGTGTGTTTTGCGTACATTGATAAACTTTAGAATTGCATTTGTTTGAACGACGATTTTTCTATTACCTTTGTACTCTGTTCATTGTAACTAACATAAATAACTGTAATATTATAGCCAACATTTCTTTTTAGGAAACACTCTTGGAAAACCTGTCCAAATGAACAATTTGATGGCATCAATCAAATATTTGTCATTATTTTTATCTAATATGATAATATGATGTCAATATATTGAAATAAAGTGTACAATGATTATTTTGCTGTTTTCTTCATTCGTACATCGTCAAACAAAGATAGAGAGTATGGTGACAATGCTTTCTTTTTTAGAAAGGATTCATGTAAAATCGGCACTTGTAACAACCTTGGGACTAAGTATTGAAGATTTTTTTTAAGGGGACAGTCTCATGCGATTAAAAAAAAAGACACATTTTAAAATTAAAACAGAAAAAAAAACTATAATATTTATTAACATAATTCCTTTTGGAGATGATTAAGTAAGTCTTGAAGTACATAAAAAAAATTTTAATAGCGATTTTAACTTCATTGGTGTCCTGTAGATGGCGTGTAGTAAAAAGTGCGTTTTTGGTGGTAAGACACTTTGTGGGTCACCTGTAACAGATATTCAAAAAATTCAAAATGGGTTGTATTCGTGAGACTCAAAACTAGATGATAAACCTTTAAAATATGCAAATTGTATTATTTTGAAGAGTTTATACGAATTTTTTCAAAAAAGTCGAAAAATCGCTATATTTTTCGGTGGATTTACCCATATATAATAAAAGGGGGGGGTGGTTTTTAAATATTTTAAAGGTTTATCATCTAGTATTTTGTATGTACATTCGAAAAATTTTTGGTTTTTTAAAATCGGTTAAGAAGGTTCGGAGAAAAGTGTCTGACCAGTTTGAAAATGTTACTTTTGAGAAAAAAGCATTTAAAGTTTTTTTTACATAATTTTCGTGAATAAAAGGCTGATAACTTTATACTCACGTTTAATCGGCCATTCCTGGTGAATATTGAGGACCCTCTTCATCCAACAGTTGTTGTAAATGGCTTTGTAAAGCTGTAAATTTCAATACAACGTCGCGATGTTTTATAATTAATTCATTTGTTCATGTTCGACTGGAGTCTCAATTCACGCCGCGATGCTGCCAGTGTAAGTGTAAAAACGGAACACACCTAGATCGCATGTCAATTCAACGAAAACGTACTTATTTATAAATGTAGATATGAAAATATTTTATAACTAAAAAAATGGTTATGTTTTATTGCCAAAACGGCTTGAAAAAAAAGTTGATTTCTAAAATAAAAAATAAAAAGGAATTTTAAAAATAAAATAATTATATTACACTCTTTTTAATTTGAAATTATAAACAATATTTGGAATAATAAATGTATTTAAGTATAAATTTTATAACTCAAATAATACCTAATGAACACAAACAAAATTGATGTTAATAAAACATTATTTATTATCTGCACAAAACCGGACTTTCAGGAAAAATCGGTAGACGGAGCAACACTGTCGGCGTGCCATATACGCTACTATCGGCGTGCCATATACGCTACTATAAACCGCTAAGGAGAAGTAATCCAGTGGAACAAATAAATTTACACTGGTTAATTGCAACGCAGAGAATCTTAGTATTTGTAAAAAAATCCTATGTTCCGGATTTAAAATTCCAAATCCAAATGTGTATAGTAAACGCCAAACGTTATACAGATATACATACTATATAAAAATTAATCACTAATACATACCCAACGTATATACAACATATATACAAAAGCAAGAACAGCTGGAGCCTCGCGCTCGCCGCGCGGAGAGAAACCGGTTTTCATACGTGCGTAGATGACGTTAATAAAATAACTATAACTTATATTCTAGTGGGAATTTCTTTTTAAAATTTTAGGAGGGAGTTTTTGAATGTAAATGGAAGCGATTTATATAAAAAAAATAAAATTGATTTTTTGAAAGTTTCGCATGAGACTGTCCCCTTAATTTACAAATTCGCATCAACCCGAAGGTTATTAGCGAATCAGATTTACAATATTAAATATATTATCTATTAACAAAATTAGCTTTTAAGTAGTTTAACATATTTGTGAATGAACAATTTGCACCAAGTGCTTTCTCTAAGTTTATTGAGATACCATAATTGATTCTTGCTGTGGAGAAAACTGGACAGTCTACAACAACATGTTTCACCGAGAGTTTAACGTTACACTGCTCACATTTTGGTTCGAATTCTTTAGTAATTAAGAACTTGTGCGTGGCACTGGTATGACCTAATCTAAGACGAGTTATTGTCACTTGATCCCTTATTTTAGTGGGGAAACATCTCCATGGTTTAATGTTCTATAAATTTATTTCATCGATTTGCGACATATTCGTTGATGTTTAAACATTCCTAAAGACGGACCTGTCCGCCGCCAGAAAAAAATACGGCCGGAGATACAGGTCAATGGTAATTAAATGTTTTTGTTTATCGTCGAGCAAATATGGATTATGAAAATTTTTCAATGATGTTAAATACGTACTAATTATATATTTTCGGTGGAATTTACAGTAAAACTGTACTTACAGACTAGCGAAAGTGAGTTCAGTTGATCACTAATAACTTCTCAAAGCGTAGTTAAATTTTGAAAACTTGTTCTCACTTAATTTGAACTATTTTGGAGAGCCAAAAATAAACACACCGTTCCGATATACTATCTTTGTAACTATCTATTGAAGATTATCAGCTATATATTCTTAAAAAAAATGCTGCTCGTAAGAAAAAGAAAAACTAAAGCATTCTACTAAAAACGATTCAACTAAATTGTTGGTAACTATGGATTTACAAACGGTACAAAGTGCGCCAAATTTGCAAGTATCGTACTATAAAAAAAACAAAAGTTATTTTTTTTTCGGATTACCAAAACAAAGATTCAACTTTGAGTAGTGCTTTATCCAATTTTGTAGCAGCAAAAAACATTTAAATTTACCAAAACTAATTGGATAAAGGACACACTCAAATGGAATGTCAGCTGAAAAATAGAGACATTTATGTACAAATGTACAGACTGTTATGTGCAAATTTGTAAAAATGCAAAATTACATCATGCTTATGATGTTCATTACCTAGATCATTTCTTTAAATATTATTCTCAGATTAAAATATACCCTCAATTCGTCCAGGTAAAAAGAGGTGATCTCTCTATTTTTGCTAGTAGATCTTAGTGTATTGGTTGATTTAAATGTTGTAATGTACTTATTTCCTATCCTTTTTAATTTTTCTGATAAGTCCTTTATACATTGTATTGTTGCCGTCCTTGAGTCTCTTCTTGTGAGTGTTTCTAGGTTGTTTGTGGTGTTTTGTTATTGTCTATCTCGTGGAATTTTTTTAGCAGGTTAGCAGGTTTTTTCTTCTTGAAATGCCTTTTAAGTAGAGCATGTGTTTTGGGCTCTATTATAAAATAATTTGATTATTCCCTTTTTGATGTTTAAGTTGTGATTTGAGTGATAATTTAGTGATAATGATTGAGCAAATCCATCAGCAGAATGTAGCAGGCTATTGTTGCCAATACTGAAAGGAGTCAACTACAAGAATATACCAACAATAGCGGATTACGAAACTCTCGACACATTTCGTCTTCAATCATACACAATACATAATATGCAACATCCGACACATATACACAATACATGAATACTCACACACATAAACGCTTATAGCACATATTAATAATACAGAACACTTAGAATAATCAGAATTTTAAGTTCCATGGGGTAAAAAAAAGCCACGGAAAAGGTAAGAGGATGAAGTGAAGCTAGACGTGAAAACCTGGAGAAGATCGACGTGGAAACGGCAAGATTGGAGGTATTGTTTGGAGAAGGCCAAGGCTAGATTTGGGCTATAACGCCATTGGAGAGAGAAAATGACATAATCTTGTCAACAACTTTGACGTCTATACACTCTTTTTGACAAAATTCTTAAATAATTTTTTTGTGAGAACGATTTCCAGCGTGTAAATCGTTACGTCGAATTTTTTTTAGTTAAAAATGTGATTATTACAATACATTGTGGCTTAATCCCATATAAACATAATATTTACTTTAGTAAGACTGTAGTTTACTTTATTCTGTTGTTACATCCATAAAATCAATCACAATGTATATAACTATTTTCTCATTTTGTTAAAATTTAAGTCAAAACAAAGTATACATATATAAATAAGAAAATGCAATCACTTACCAGTTTACCTTTCAAAAAATTAAATACTCTAATTTTTCTATCTGTTGAAATTGTTGCAAACTTTTTTCCATCATTTGAAAAGGCTAATCCTGTTGGAACAGTCTTATTTTTGGCAAATTCAAACAGATCTGTGTCAAGTTTGGAATCAAATCCTATATTTTTGGGAAAATCATAGTCATGTTTGCTTCCATGCCAGTATTCTAGAATAATTCATAACTTAAGTAATCATTCATGAAGCATTCCTTATGTATGACAAAACCTGTTGGTTATTTGAAAAGATATATAATTGGGAGGCAAAGTTGGCATTATGGACTATTGGTGGCAATATGGGCTAAACTATTATCTGGTAAACAAGCCGGCGAATTCTAGCCGAGAACGCAGGAACTATAAGTAGTAGTTTGTGCGAGAGCCGCTAGGAAGCTATAACGCATTTAGTTAAGCAGTAGTGAGTGTTGACGTTTTGTGATTTGCGAAACTGAAAACTAAAGCTATTGAGATTAATTGTGTATATATTTCTATAATTTATAGACTATAATATATATATTATATATATATATATATATATATATATATATATATATATATATATATATATAGGGATTGTTTTAGCACTACAACGTAGTTAATAATAAGTAGTTTTCAACTGATGGGCAATCACTGTGGTAGTTACATAAGCTACCGAACCTGTTTTTTTTTTCTGTTACAGATGCCTAGGAAACTTTTAAATCCACGTAAGAAGAAACACTATCAGCAGTGGTGGGACCAAGATAAAATAAAAGTGGCAATTGAAGTTGTGCCAGAGAAGAAGATGGGCTTTTTAAAAGCTTCAAGGACTAGTTCATCTGGGAATACCCCTGAAGAAGTGGTTTCAAAAAATTGGGAAGAAAACCGATTATGCCCAGTGAAATGAAAGCCGAACTTGTTCACTATTTACTTCTTATTGAACAAAAAGTTTTATGGTCTCACGAGGAGAGATGATGTTAGGCGTTTAGACCATCCATTTTCTGGTACTGGAATGGCTGGCAGAGCGTGGTCTGACCACTTTTTACACCGTCATAAGGATGTGTTGTCTATTCTAAAACCAACAGCTAGATCATTTTCCAGAGCCAATGCTTCAATGAAGATGCTGTTAATGGGTTTTTCGATATCTTGCAAGTTGGTGCCTTAAGTGCTGCCGAAAGAGGGTCTCTTGTGACTTGTGTGTTGTATGAGCGACAGTGGGACCTTTGTTCTACCACTGATGAATTTTCCTAGGAAAACAGGACAGATGTCTTGATGAAAGGTGCCTACCCTGGTTCAATAGGAAGAGCCCATCCATCTGGTTTGATTCAAGGAAATTTATTCATTGAGTAGTTAAACCATTTCATCGAAAAAGTTAATCCTACAAAAGAAAGTCCCCTTCTTCTTTTCCTTGATGGGCATAATACCCACACTACGAATATTAATGTCATAGATATTGCAAGATGCAACCACATAACGATAATTAGCTTACCACCCTATACCTCTCATCTTTTCGGATGTGGACTTTGGTCCTTCTAATATGATTGAGTTGGACATAAACACTATTAGGGTTCATAAGGGCAGGAAAAAATCCACAAACACTCCACGTCTTGCACCTCAAGAGGGCATTATCGATGGCACAGGGACTGTACCCCAGGACTGCATACCAAGCTACTGAGAGCACACAACAGCTTCAGAAAACTAGCTCAGTCCAGAGCAGCACGCCCTGTGCTAAAGACCTAACAGAAGCTGGTCCTTCGGGTATGTCATCCATGTCAATGCAAAAGGTAATGGTTTCAATAAGAGACATTTTACCTGTTGCAAGAAATAAGAAAAGATTGACAAATAAAGGACCCAAACCGGAAAATGCAGCAGCTATAACATCGTCACCATATAAATTTAATTTGGAAGAAGTTAAGAGAAAAAGTGAGAAAAAGGTGGCTGATAATCAAAGGAAGGTGAAAATCCGTGGAGAAAAAGAAGCAGATAAAAAGAGGAAAATTGAAGAAAGTAATGCAGATTTAGGGAGAAATTTATAAAACAAGAGCAAGGTGATCATGGAAAGATGAAACAAGGATCTAAAACACAGACCGTAAAGAAGCTCAACCTAGAAACATGGCCAGTTACCTCGGAGGAAGGATCAATAGACTCTGGAGAGAATCAGGTTTAGAGTTACCAATTAGAGTTAAAATCTCCACAAGTGAAGACGCTCCCTGTATTTTCTGTGATAAGTTTTATTCAAATGATAGGAAAGGAGAACTATGGGTCCAATGTTTAATGTGTGAAATGTGGGCTCACAATGAGTATGCTGACTGCGAAACCGAACATTATATTTGTGATTTCTGTAAATAAAATCTAAAATAAAATTCGTATATAGACTATTTTTAAGAAATTTACAGTTTTAAGTAATTTTTATAACATTTTAAACTGGTAGCCCATTTAACCACCACAACTTGTAATTTTCAAATTTTGTCATTTTGAAAAAATATTTTTTTTATATATTAAAATTTTTTATTTGTTGTGTTAGACTTATTTACATCATAAAGTTTAATTGTTTCCATTTACAAAAAGATTCATTCATAATGAAGGTATTTAATTAAGGTATTTATGATGGAAAAACCAAATGGTAGCCATAATACCACCTTTTCCTATATTATAATAAACTATGCCATAACATATGTGCGTATAGTAATACAGCATTGACATTCAAAGAAATGAGCTTACAAAGTCGAAGACCTGAAGATATAATCATTTAATACCATGATATATTATCATGGTATTGAATGTTATGAGCTTCAATGCAATGCTTCAAGATACAGAATTATTACAAGAGATGTTCACCGAGATTTCCTCTTTAGTTAACAACAAACTTAACATTCTCAAGTAAAAATGTTATTTATTATCTGTTAAGAAAATAGTTTTTATCATTAAAATTTCCGATTTTTCAATCAAGCGATTATACAGTAGTCTAACATTTTTGTTTGTAATTAAGGAACATTTAGAATGGGATACTCTGATTTGCAGAAATGAATTAATCATGTTCGGGTAATCAGATAGCTCAAGAAGCAGAAACTGCTTCAAAAGTAGTTCAAACGTGTTAAAAACACATCCATATTAGCCTAAATATGTCCATCACACTCAGCATGATGTTACAAGAGCCCAAGAATAAGGTCTTGTGTGTTGTGAAAGGGTGAGGAATAGATTTGATCAGGATTCAAATTGTTATTTACAGACAAAAAAACTTTTTTCTTTAATACTGGTCAGAATACAAAGAACATAGTTCATTGGTATAGAAGATTGGTATAGAATATTCAATTTCCCATAAATTAAATGTGTGATGTGGTATCATTGGGCCAAATAAATTCAGTCCATTTTCAATTAATCAATTTATAACGTTTACGCCGTCTTCTGATTTCCAGTCTCCATTTATCTCAGTTGTTCCAAAGGTTTTCTTCAACTCCCCTCTCCCTTAAGTCATTATCGATTCTTTCTCTCAAAACTTAATCTCGGTCTACCTTGCTTTCTTCTTTCATGAGGTGTCCAGTTCAATACTTTCTTTGGTATTCTGTGTTCATCCATTCCTTGAACGTGTCCATACCAACTTAGTTGATTTATTTTTATGTCCTCTGTTATATTGTGCTTAACACCTATAATTTCTCGTATTCTTTCGTTTCTAACTGTCTAATCTTGATTTTCCAGCCGCTCTTCCCCAGAAGTCCATTTCTGTTGCTTCTACTGTTTTTTCCTTCCAGTGGCCATACCTCACTTCCATAAGTAACAATGTTTTTATAATGCTGTTATAGATTTTGTGTTTGTTTTCTTTGGAGATTGTTTTATCCCACAGTACACTGTTTAATTGTCTAATGGCTTGTCTTCCCTGGTTATTTCTATGTTTAATTTCTTCGTCTAATTGTCAGTGATTTATTTCTCAATGTATTTCTTCCAAGATTAGATTTTGTTGAATTCCCCCAATACACATGTATTCGGTTTTCTTGATATTTACTTCTAGCCCGCATAGTTCGTATTCTTCGATAAGTTTCTGGGTTATATATTCGAGGTCTTCATAGTCTGGGGCCATCACTATCTGGTCGTCTGCAAAACTCAATGTGTACAATATTGCGTCATTTAGAGGAATTCCCATGTTTCTGCATTTTCTTTTACACGTCTTCATCGCTTGCTCCCAGTAGATGTTCAACAAAGTAGGAGACACGCAGCATCCTTGTTTGAGTCCTTTGCTGATAGTGAAACCCTTGGATACCTGCTGACCTTTCTTTATTTTACTTGTATTGTTCTTGTAGAGGTCTTGATCAGCCTTGATTAAGGTTACACTAATATTTGTTTTCTCGAGAGCTTCCCAGAATTTTTGTTGTGGCACACTATCGTAAGCTTTTTTAAGCTCCACGTAGAGGAGATGTATTGGCTGACTTCTTGCTACTTTTTTTTTCTATAAGCTGGGTAACAGTAAACAGATGGTCAATAGTTGATCTACATGCTCTAGAGCCTCTTCTTCGGCCTCCACATCAAAGAATGCATATTCCATTCTCTTTTTGATGAGTTTTCCATAAACTCTCAAGATGGTGCTAAGGACTGCTATTAGAGGATAATTGTCACATACATCTTTACTTCCCTTCTTATGTATTGTCGTGATAAACGATGTCTTCCACTCCTCCGATATACTCTCTCCGTTAATACATTTTTGGTAAAAGCTGGCTAGCTGCTTATATAATTTGCTTGTACCATACTTAAGTAGCTCAGGTGGGATATTGCCAGGGTCTGGTGATTTTCTATTCTTTGATGTATTCTTTTAATTTTTTCGTTTTTCTTTTTAGTTATTACACCTCATACGTTTCTTTGATCAGTATTTATATTTAAGTGTTTGTGGTATTTATCTCATTTAATCTTTATTTTTTCTTTGATTTCTTTATCACACCAATATGGCTTCCTTTATTCAGTTTTTTCATATTTACCCAGGGCTTCTTCTGCTGCACTTTTGAGACATTGTTTTATGTAATTTTAATGGTGCTCAACACTATCAAAGTTTTCTTGTAAAAGTTTTTTATCAAGTCACTTTTTGTACAGTGCCTTTGTGCTTTCGTGGTTGATGCTATCCAAGTTGGATTTGGTTTATATTGTTTTTTGCTCTTGTTCATGTGTTGTCCTTGTGTTGTGTTCTTTTTTCTTGGCTGGTCGTATGGGCATTATTTTAGCCTTTACTAGGTAGTGGTCGCTTCCACATGTGCTTCCTCTAAACGCTCTTACATCTTGTATATTAAGTTGCATATTTTGTCGGGCAAATCAAATAGTCTATAATGGATTTCAAATTTCTTGATTGTTGGACCTAAGTGAATTTATGTATTTCTAGGTGCTGAAAAAAGCTGTTAAGTATTCTCAGGTTGTTTTGTTCACATATGTTGATAAGCCTATCTCCACTGTCATTTCTAGTATCTTCTCCGAATTGACTATTTTATCTTTAACTTTTTTGCCTGCTCTCGCATTTAAGTCTTCTAATGGAAGTATTTCTCTTGACGTTCCTATTTTTAATATTTCGTAAGATAGTTGCTCAAAGAACTCTTCTTTATCTTTTAATAAAGCATCCTCGTTTACTGCATAGATGCAAAGGATGGTGACTTTACTGCCACCTAAAGTAAGTACTAAAATATCCATTTTTGATAGATAGAGCTCTTGAATGTTACAAGTAGCAATATTCATATCCATTTTCTAAGCTTAAGTTGTCTTCATTTGTTCAATCGTTTCTGAGGCCTGTTACTGGAAGTTTTAACCTTTTAAAGTTTTTATCAAGTATCGAGAGGTTAATCTGATGCCTCAACTCCCATCCTGGAGGACCAGAGCTTTGATTTCAGAGTGCCGCTCCTAGACTGGTTGCTTTCTCTATGGCTCAAAGAGTTCTGTCTTCCCTTTATTCCTTTTATTTCATCCCTAAAGGTTGGGTGGCCACCTCCGCCATTGGATCCCCAAGCTGTTGTAGTCTTCAACTGTTACCTTGGTCAAGGGACCCTTAGCAGGTACTAGTTTTCTGGGTCAGGAAACACCCAGAATCTGCGGAGGCAGGAATCAATTCACTTTCCCTGATAGGACTATCTGAAAAGGAGTTCTTACACGCTACCTAATGATTTTAACCGGTCCATTTTGATTAAAGCAAATTTGGCTGTATTGTAATACTTAAATTAACTTCAGAATAATACTGTTTCTGTCCTCAAAAAATTGAGAATAATTTCCATAATAACTGTTTACTATTCATTATTTTATAAGAAAAGTAATTGTTAAACTTTTTTTGATAAAACTATTCCTTAGCAAATACTCATAATATCAATGATAAAAAAAACTATACTGTTTAAAGCTTTGGAAAGGAAACTTACAAATCAAAGGGAAGAATAGCACATTTTATGACAAATGATTATGTTTTTTAATATTTCCCCACATCATTGTAAACATTACTTTATTACCTACCAATCATGCCCTTCTTGTCAGCTGATATCACTACATCATATTTGGGGTTGTACTTGATCAATGTAACAGGACTGGTATGAATTTTTTCAAAAACTGTAAGTGCCTTTCCATCTTTTCCATCATATATATGGATCCTAGCAGTGGCTTTGTCAGCAACAGCCAAAGTATGTATAGGTTCTCCAGATCCATGAATCCACTCAATTGTTCCAGGTACAAATTCTAACCTAAAAAGGTTCTAACATAAATACAGTTTTTCCCTTTACTATATTTATTTGTATATAATATGGTAATAGAGATTTTGATACAGATTTTTATGCAAAGACAGGGAATTATTAATTACTTTGGGGGATAATCAATAACAGTTCAATTTTTAATGTCAAAACACTAACATTAGTTAGTTGTTAGATTTTTTTTTTTTCATTTAATACAAATTTCTGTTGCTGTTATATTATTTTCAGAATTCTACTAGACAAAAAATAGAGATACAATCAATGGTTAGTTTAAATGAATGTAAAACTGTTACAAAGTTGCCACAAATTAATGGAAATGACAATCTCAAACTATATATTCAAGTGCTTCACTGTTGAAATTTAATATAGTATTTCAAATATTTTTATTTTTAAAAGTCCTTTGTTTTTATAACTGGTTGTCCTGCAACCAATTGGCCTATTGTACATCTTCCATTCATGGAAGGTACCTTCTGGCTCAGGTTTTAGTGTTAATGACTACTTACCTAGTAAGTGATGCTGAGTAAATTACCAATTTACTAGTAATTTACATAATTTGAATTAGATGCTTCTAACATGGTATTTATTCTAAAATAACTTTTTTCATATACCTATTTTTGACCCCTTTTATATTGGAGTTTTTCAACATGTTGAAGACTTGATAAAGAAGTGTGTGTATACTCCTCAAGTTTCTGGAATGATAGTAATGCATAGACAAACCTCAGTAAAGAAGTTTGAGAATAAACTACCAATTAATAAATGAACATCATATTTGTTCAAGTTCAAGAAGAAATAAAGGGAAGAGAAAATTATACAAGCAGTGGCAAGAAAATAGGTCAAACACAAATCTTCAAAACTATATGGTATCTGAAAAGAAAGTGAAAGTAGCAGTAGCAAAAATTAAAGCAGAAGTTTATACAAATAAATACTTAATACTAGGGAAGGTGAAACAAAGATATATAAAACAGCCAAACTAGACATCCTCGAGAGATCCTGTGGTGTGTGCACAATAAGAAATGAGTTCCTGGTGAATATGTCTGGTATGATTGTTAGACATATATGAGGATGTAACAACTAGTGTTAGGCCAGGTGTGGGACAGACTGACAAATTTCATGTGAAAGTATAATTGCACAAGGCTCCGTGATAAAGTGCTTATTTATCCCTAATGCTAAAGTGCTTAAATATGTAGGATCAGTATTACAGAGTAATGGGGAAATAGATGAAGATGCATGCAGTAGAATTAGGGTGCGATGGATGAAGTGGGTTGAAGCAAATGGTGTGTTGTGACAGAAATATTCCAATTGAAGGGGAAATTGTATAACATTGCGATAAGACCAGCTATAATGCATGGCAAGTAGGGTAAGGGTAAGTATTAAGAGTGAATATATTAGGGGAAGTCCAGGGGTGTGTGGTTGGAAACAAAATGAGTTAGCATAGGTTAAGATGATTCGGATATGTTAAATATTGAGACATTAATCACCCAATACAAATAATGGCTGATTTTCACTTTCCTTGAAATAGTAATAGTAGTAATTGTAGTAACAGTAATAATAAAATCAACTGCTTAATATTTTGCTTAGTGTATGATCTTAAGCAAAATTCCAATTCATCACACAGACATTATAATAATAATAATAGACATTATAACTCATAACACACCCACTCAAATGGTGAATAATTACAAATTCCTGGTGGGAGTTATGATAAACTGATAAAAGTGATCAAAATATCAGGATAAAAAGAT